CCAGTGAATAGGACGATTACTCAAATTTACCCACCAACCACTAAAGCCAATGATGATTAAATTAAAGAGGTTTGTGGGTCGGAATGGCACTTAAATGGCACTTAACAACAACCACCAAATCCTGGTATGGCACTGTAAGATAAGCACTCAACCTCAAGGTCAGTTTTAATGGTAAGGTCAGCAGTTCAAACTCACCAGCTGCTACTCAGAAACTCTATACAGGTTTGCTATGAGTCTGAACTGTACTTAACAACAACAACAAACCAATCTCTTCAGTCTGTAATCGATCAAATATGCAACAAAGATACATTGATAATTACTGGTGATTGGAAGGCGAAAGTTTGAAGCAAAGAGGAAGGATCTTTAGTTGAAAAGTATGGCCTTGATAATAGAAATAATGCTGGATATCACATGATAGAATTTTGGAAGGCCAATGACATATTCATTACAAATACCTATTTTCAACATCGTAAACAGAGACTATATATATGGACCTCACCATATAGAATACACAGGAATCGAACTGACTGCATTTGTGGGAAGAAACGATGGAGAAGCTCAGTATCATCAAGCAGCGCAAAGCTAGGACCTGATTGTGGAGCATCAGTCATCAGGTGTCCAGGTGCAAATTCAGCCTGAAGCTGAAGAAAATTAAAACAACTCCATGAAAGCCAAAGTTTAAGAATATCCCACCTGAATATAGAGATCATTTCAAGAACAGATTTAATGCATTAGACACTAATGATCAAAGACCAGAGGAGTTATAGAATGACATCAAGAAAATCATTCATGAAGACAGCAAAAGATCATTCAAAAGACAGGAAAGAAAGAAAATACCAAAGTTGAAGTCAGAAGAGACTCCAAGTTGCTCTTGAACATAGAGAAGATAAAACAACTGGGGGAAATGAAGTAAAAGAGTAGAACAAGAAATTTCAAAGGGCAGCTGAAGAAGACAAAGTAAAATATTATAATGAAATGTGCAAAGACCTGGAGTTAGAAAATCAAAAGACAAGAGTAAGGTCGGTATTTCTCAAGTTGAAAGAGCAGAAGGAAACATTTAAGCCTCTGGCTGCAACGTTGCCGGATTCTATGTGTAAAATATTTAAAGCATCAAAAGCACATGGAAGGAATAAACAGAGTTACTGCGCCAAAAAGAATTCACCAGTGTCTAACTATTTTAAGAGGTACCATATAATCAAGCTATGGATAACATTGTGGAGAATGTGTATTCCAGAGCACTTAATTGTGCTCATGAGGAATCGGTACACAGACCAAGAGGAAGTTGTTAGAACAGAACAAGGGGATCCTGAAGGGTTTTAAATTAGGAAAGGTGTGCACAGGGTTGAATTCTTTCACCATACTTATTCAAACTTTATGTTGAGCAAATAATCCAAGAAGCTGGATTATATTCAAGAAGAAGGTGCACCATTTGGAGGAAGAGTTATTAACAATCTTCAATCTGCAGATGATGCTACCTTGCTTGCTGGAAACCAAGAGGACTTCCAGTACTTACTGATGAAGTTCAAAGACTAAAGCCTTCAGTATGGATTGCACCTCAATCCATAAAAACAAAAACCCTCACAACTGGACCAGTAAATGACATCATGATAAAGAGAGAAAAGACTGACGTTGTTAAAGACTTCATTTTGCGTATATCCACAATCAACACTCACGGAAGCTGAAGAAAAAAAAATCAAATGACTTATTGCATTAGGCAAATCGGCTGTACAAGACCTCGTTAAAGTGTTCAAGAGCAAAGCTGTCAGTTGGAGGTGTGCTGACCGAGCCATGGTATTTTCAATAGCCTCATATGCATGTAAAATATGAATATGGACAATGAATAAGGAAGACGGTGGAAGAATCAATGGATTTGAATTATGGTGTGGGGGTAAGAATATTAGAAGTACCATGGACTGCCAAAGAACAAACCAATCTGTGTCAGAAGATGTACAGCCAGAGAGCTCCTTAGAAGCCTGGATGGCCAGACTTCATCTCTCATACTTCAGACATATAATCAGGAGGGATCACTCCCTGGAGAAGGACATCATGCTTGATAAAGCGGAGGGTGAGTGAAAAAGAGGAAGACCCCCAACGAGATGGACTGATACATTGGCAGCAGCAATGGACTCAAACGTAACAACAATTGTGAGGACAGAGCAGGACTGGGCAGTGTTTTGTTCTCTTGTGCATAGGGTGGCTATGAGTTAGAACCCATTTGTTGGGTGTGGCACTGTAGGTTAATGTGTGAAACTGCAAAGTCGTTTGAACTACAAGGTTGGTGATTCAAACTCACCAACTGTTTCTTGGAAACCCTATACAGGGTAGCTATGGGTCGGAATCGACTCGACAGCACTTAACAACAATGACGACACATAATTGTAATCAGTTATACATAATTATAGTCATGAACACATTTTTTTCCAGGGAAAAATGATTTACAGCTTGACATATTCTTCCCAAATGCTTTATATCTGGCCTTTTCCTTCCTGGGACTGCATGTTGGCCCCCATCATTCTTACATCTGATGTAAGTTCCTTTAGTTTTAACCTCTTTCGTTTACAATTCTGTGGGTTAAATATGAAGATGCCCATTCTTCCCTTTTTTATTTATTCTCTGGCTGTAACTAATCCCAAGCAAAGCAACCTCCAGGCAGAGGTCGGAGTGATTACGGCTATTAGTCAGTAACACAAGGTACAATTGGAAATCCATTGTACAAATAAGCGCCTTTTGGACTTCGCTTCACTTCCTTTTGCATATTAAGCTTCATTTATTAGTGTTTGTTTCTGATAGTAGATACACTACCAACTTCCTTGGTTTGCTGTGAGGATTAAGCTTTAGAACTAATGGATGCAAAGCAGTCAGCAATGCCCAATGTGGTTAGTACTCAGTACAAACTGATACTGTTCTTAGAGAAGTTTTGGATGAAGGTTATACTGCTGGAACGGTTTCCATTGGAACGGTGGTGGCAAAGGGCCCGACTTGCACCATTCTTCGCTGTAAATTGGTTATCTCGGCATACCTAGCAAGCCTGGTGTATGCCTTCTAGACTAACGGGTCGTACGTCAGCACCAATCACAGAGAGCCACATGGCCAGGAAATTACAATAAAAGGTCACCCTACAGCAGCTTGCTTTCCCACAACTGGCTGAGGAGGAACACTTCCTCTCAGGCTCTGTGATCTTGCCCCAAGGTAAGTCCTGCTCCAAGTCCCAGTAGCCTTTCTCCTGAGGACTAACTCAATTTGACAGGCTTGTTTGTTTCTGGAAATCTTCAGGACCCAACAAGGAGTTTCGATTCTTGGTTATTGTCAGGTGCCCCAGATATCACTGTGTGTGCCATTTAGTCCATGATTCCGGATGTCTGTTGGCTATGCCAGGTCTTACCCAGGAAGACGGGCATCAACTTGGAATCTCCTCTCCAAGAAGTGCCAGTCCTGGGTGCGCTCCCGTCTCTGCTCTCTGGTCCCATATTCAAGCTATTCCTTCCAGAAGTAGCTCTCTGTCTTCAACTGAAATCTTCCAGAGGCTGTAAGAAGTCACCCAAAGATTTGCCCATCCTGGGAGACACAGTCCCAGAAGAATAACTGTGGTCTGAGTGAGGGGCGTTGCTTTTGTCTTGCCACCCGCACCTCTACTTTTGCCCAACCTTCAACTTTATTGAGCACCACTCATGTGCCGTGTACTTTGCTAAGAGCAAGAGATACCCTCATGGAAGTCTACACACATAGAGCTCTCCTCTGCAAGCTGTGGGAGTATGTCAATTGTCATGGGATTATGACAACTTCCTTTTCCAGTTTATTGTGTACCTGATGCACTAAGCTAAGAAAGGACAGTCAATACTTTTGTCTGTAGGCATTCACAGGCTGCAGCTGATCTCTGGAGAGCCTCTACCTCAAACCCAAGCAGGGACCATATTGAGATTTTACCGTACTGACCAGTTTCAAGCTTGCGTTTGGCTTCCATGCTGCCAACCTCACCCTTTAGGCCTACCTTCTATCCCTACCACTCTGCTCCCTTTCTCTATGCCACACCTACTTTAAAACAATAAAGCCATTCATGAAAGACGGCACAGGAATTGTTTCTGAGACCCTGGGCCTGGGACTGTAAGGAAGCCACTTAACTTTTAGTACAGTTCCTGCACTTAGAGGAGCTCTGGTGGCGTACTGGTTACGAATCGGGCTGCAAGGCACACAACAACAACAACGTCCTGCACATAGGAGAGGCTCAGTTACTGATTATTAGATGAGTGCTCCCCAGTCTTAGCTTCTTCATCTGTAAAATAAAGATTAGTACTTTCCTTGTAGGTAAGAATGTCATGAATATGTTATTGTGATCGCTAAGTGCCGCAGAGTCAGTTTTAAGTCATGGCGACTCCATATGGGGTTTCCAAGGAGTCGTTGGTGCGCTGAACTGCCAACCTTGTGGTTAACAGTCCAGGGTTTTTTGTTGTTGTGGTTAAATGCTGCCAAGCTGGTTTCAACTCAACCTTGTATAGGGTTTCTGAGGAGTAGCTGGTGAGTTTGAACTCGTACTGTGTGGTTCAAACCGACCTTGTGGAATAGTGCTCATCTTACAGTGCTACACCAGGACTCCAAGTGCGTAGAGAGTCTTAAATGAGATAAAGTATGTAAAGGGTTTGGAACAGGCACGTCATCATGTTATCAAGTAGGTGCTACACTGATGTGAGAGCTCACTCTCATCCTCACACCCAGAGGTCGTCCTCCTTGATCCTAATTTGTTGTTGTTATGTGCTGTGGAGTCGGTTCCGACTCATGGCGACCCTGTACAGGGTTTCCGAGGCTGTAAATCTTTACAGGAGCAGAAAGCCTCTTCTTTCTCCCGCGGAACAGCTGGCATTTTCGAACTGCTGACCTTGCGGTTTGCAGCCCAATTTGTAACCACTACGCTACCAGAGCTCCTTGATCCTAACTTGTGTTTCCCTCCAAATAGCTACATAAGGAGTCTTCACACTGCTGAGTGAGTCTCAGTGTATATACCGAGGATGGTGGGCTCTGGTCTCCTGTGGTTGGCCTCAGTCTCCTGCATTCTGATGTTGGTATTGGCAGAGCAACAAGGTGAGTTGTGGTCTTCTTACTGGGGCATCTCACATACCCAGCACGACTGTGGAGTGGGTAGGGAGGGAGAGAGCAGCAGGTTCAAGGTCAGCACGAGAAAAGCGACTTATATAAAGCAGAGACTCAGAAGCTAGAAGTCAGAATCAAGTCATCACCTCTCAAAGAATTAAGGGTCAAATAAAAAATTATCCTCATATAGCAGTGGGGAGCAGATTATATAACTTTCTCTGCTCAGATGTGGGGGAGGTTGGAGAGCCCAGGTTGGAGAAGATAATAAAGAAATCATTGCAAATGGCCAAAGACTGGAAATCAAGACTTGGCTGCATCCCTCTCTTGGCCACCCAGTCATTCTGTCCCCTTGTCTTAGCAAGTAGTGCCTTCCGCTTTCTTGGTATCCATTTGCTTATCTGAAAAATGAAAGAACTAAATTAGATGGTCTCTTTATGGCCCTTCCACGGATCTTCTAGGATTTGGGCATCTTAGATGTTTGTGCAAAGTATTCTCAGGCTTGACACCAAGGGGAAAATTTCTGCCCAGGCCACCTGTGGGAGGCGGGGTCCTGATGGGAAGGGACAGAGTGTTCTGGAGATCATGCCGGAACAGCAGGTGTGCAGCCTCCTTTCCTTACAGAAAACACAGGAGCAAGGCTTGAAAGCCTCTCTGTGTGATTGTGGAAAACTCCACATAAAATCAAACTTTCCTTTTTAACCATCTCAAAGTGCCAAGTCCATGGCGTTATGTGCGTTCAGGAATGTGTACAGCCACCATCGTAACTAATCCCAGAATTTTCCAACACTCCACACAGAAATCCCATTCCCATTAAACAGTCAACTGCCCCCAAATCCCTCTACCTACCTCTGACAACCACAAACCCTCTTTCTGTGTCTGGATTTCCCTGTTCCCTGATACCATGTCTGTGGACTTAGACCACCATTCATGAACTCACACGCTTCAACCAATCAGAACTAGACAGGAGAAGTAGCTGGATTTTACCATGACCCAGGCTCTTTGCTTGATTTTTTACACATTTCATTTCATTTAATCCTCTAACAATCCTTTAAAACTATTTCCCAAATGGGGTATACATATCCCAAGATGATTCTAAGGGTACATGTGTAAGCACTAGACTTCTAACAAGAAGGTCTGTGGTTCAGACCCACCAGCCACTCCTGGGAAACCCTATACAGGGTCTCTGTGCATCGGAACGGATTCAATGACGCTTGACAACAGCAATTGTAATAGTTATTTCATGGAGTCCTGGGGTGGCACTGTGGGTTAATGCGCTGGACCGCAAAATCAGTTTGAACCGCAAGATTGGTGGTTCCACCTTACCAGCTGCTCCTTGGAAACCCTATACAGGGTCGCTATAGGATAGAACCATCTGGATGGCACTTAATAATGACAACAACATGTGTAATAGAAAAAAAAGTAACTAGTACATCTTACCTGTAGGTTCACAGGTATTCTTGCTTATTGTTATTGTTAAGTGCTGTTGAGTTGGTTTCGACCCATAGCGATCCTGTATAGGGTTTCCAAGAAGCAGCTGGTGAACTGGAACCACCAACTTTGCAGTTCAAATGGCTTTGCAGTCTGACGCATTAGCCCACGGCGCCACACCAGGACTCCATTTTTCCCTAGGATGGAACATTTTAAAGCAAATCGTTGAAAGAAACATTGTCAGTAATAATAAGACAGGGCACACAGATGTGACAAAATACATCATGACCCAGATTGTGAGAATGGGTGAAGTTTGCTCACAAGTGTTTTGCAGATGAGTCTTGGGAAAATCAAATTATAGGCCAAGCTCGTCCAGATAGAGTATCTGGGTAGACGGTGTGGAGCTGGATGGGGACCCAGCTTGCCCAGCTCCCAAACCCGTGGTCATTCCCCCGCTGCACTTCAGGCTCTTCCTGCATTTAAAGTGACTTATCAGTCACCATCCCTAAAACTATTAAAAATCACAGGAGATCATCAATCAGCGGTCCCTAACTAGGGCTGATTTTACTGCCCAGGAGATATTTGGCAATGTTAGGAGACATTTTTGGTTGCCACAAGTGGGCGTCAGGGATGGTGTGATTGTCAGTGGAGGTCAGGGATGCTGCTGAGCATCCTACAGCGCACAGGACAACCCCCCACAACAGAGAATTACCTAGTGCAAAGTGTCAGTAGGACCGAGGTTGAGAAATCCCAGACTAGATTTTTAATCGTATGTCTAGAGATACTGAAAACTGTCTACGATACAGGAAGTGGGATAAAGAGCATTGTATTTTATTCCAGGGCACCTTCCCCAATATGAATGTCCCCCCTCTGAGGTTTGGCTTAAATATATGCAAAATATTACCCAAAGCCCTCACTGATGATTCTGACCCCCAAGGTGGTCAGGTTGCTGTGGCTGTTGTCTTCATCAGAGATTCCATTTAGAGACCTTAGCAGATCCAAACAGTATGTGTGTGTGTGGGAGAGGGGGGATGGGTTGTTGAGTTAACCTAAGCACACTCTGTCACTTTTCCAGGTTTGAGAACTACCGCCAACGCCAGTTCTTATGAACTGGGCTTGGAGTGTGGGGCTCCTGGCACCCCAGAGGCCCACGTCTGTTTTGACCCTTGTCAAAAATACACACAATTGGACGACCCCTCCAGAAGCATAGAGAACACAGAAACTAATGGGCAGCTATGTGATCGGAACCTTCAAGGCTGGTACCGCTTTGTGGGTGAAGGGGGAGTTCAGATGCCAGAGACCTGTGTCCCAATGTTCCGGTGCCAGACAGCTGCTCCCCTGTGGCTGAGCGGGACCCACCCTTCCAATGAGGAAGGCATTGTCAACCGCACTGCTTGTGCCCACTGGAGTGAAAACTGCTGCCTTTGGGAAAAGGAGGTGTTGGTGAAGGCCTGCCCTGGCGGGTACTATGTGTACCGATTGGAGGATACGCCCGACTGTGATCTGAGATATTGCACAGGTGGGCATTGGGAACCCAGGGACAGATACAGAGGGGTACCACCCAGAGAAATGCCCAGGGTCAGTAAGGTATGGGAGGAGCAGGTCCACTGTTGTTGTTGTTAGGTACCATCAAGTCTATTTCAACTCATAGTAACCCTACACACAACAGAACAAAACACCGCCCTGTCCTGCGACATCCTCACAATTGTTATATGCAATTTTATTGTTACTACTATTATGTCACTGTCTCACTGGGGGGGTCTTCCTCTTTTTTGCTAACACTCCACTTTTCCAAGCATGATGTTCTTCTCCAGGAACTGGTTTCTTCTAACATTCCCCAAGTACGAGAGACAAAGTCACACCATTCTCACTTCTAAGGAGCATTCTGACTGTACTTCTTACATGACAGATTTGTTTGTTCTTCTGGCAGTCCATATTCTTCCCCAACACCAAACTTCAAATGCATTGATTCTGTCTATGGCCTTCCTTAGTCATTGTCTACCTTTCACATGCAAATGAGGCACACCTTAGTTCTTAAAGTGACATCTTTGTTCTTTAACTCTTTAAAGAGCTCTTTGGCAGCAGATTTGCCCAATGCAATACATTGTTTGATTTCTTGACTGCTGCTCTCATGAGCACATAGCCTAGTGTTGTTTTTATTATTGTTAAATTCCATCAAGTTGATTCCAACTCATAGCGACCCTGTGTGCAACCAGTCCAAGGAGCGACTGGTGAGTTTGAACCACTGACCTTGTGGTTCAAACTGACCTTGCAGTCCTGCACTTATTCTACAGTGCCACATCAAGACTTCTACACAGAACACAACTCAGCAATCCAGTTACTGCCCATAGTGAATACAGCACAAGGCCTATCAGGTGTTCTAGCATTTCCAGTAAATGCAGAGGCTCAAATTCAAGGATCAAATCTGACTTATAAATTTGTATAGCATGAAATGAAGAATTATTTTTGGATTCCATTTCTATTTTGGAAGTTTAATTTACCTCTCTGAACCTCAGTGTTCTGATCTGAATGGCAGAAATAGCAGCTAACAGATAATGCTTACACGATCCCTGCTAGTATTTGAAGCACTTTAGACATCTTAACTAATTGAATCATCTCACCAGCTTTAAGAGATAGATGCTCTAATTATCCTAGATGAGGAATCTAGGGCACAGAGAGGTTAACTAATGCTCCCGAAATCACAGAGCTGGAATCTAACAGAGGTGGGATTTGAATCCAGATAATGTAGGCCCAGCATCCATCCACTCTGCTGTCCTATCTCAAATTGTCATCATGGGGATTGAATGAACGAACCCTTGGAGAGTGCTAAGAATGGTGCTTAGGACATAGTCATCAATAAAAGGTCAGCTTTGTGGTTCTCACTTACTATACTGGGTTGGGGGTCAGGAAGCCTGGGTTTGAGGCTTGGCCCTTCCACTAACTACTTGGAAAAGACTTCTGGGCCTTGGAGGGGATGCGAAGGTTGGACTTGGGAACCTTGGGTTCTACTGCTTTGTGTTCTAATCTTCTCTCTCCATGTCTCCTCCATGTTGCCAATAGACCCCACCACTGTGAAGGACAAGTGTGACAGGCCCTGCCGTCCTGAGGAGGAGTGCCGCTCCGTCGATGGTGTCTGGGACTGCTTCTGCAAGCAGGACCTCAATAGCTCTGGTGACTAAGTTACTGTTCTAGTAACGCAATGCCTTAGCTGTCTTCCTGGGTAGGCAGTGGGGTGGTGCTGTGGGTTCCTTCCTGAGTGAGCAGGGTCTAGGGTTGAGCAGAAGGAAAGGAACATCAGAGGTTCAGAACAAAATATGAATCAGAGTTGTTCTTAGGTGCCATCGAGTCAGTACCGAGTTATAGCGATCTTATGCAAAACAGAATGAAACACTGCCCGGTCCTGGGCCAACTTCACAATTGTTGCCACGCTTGAGCCCATCGATGCTGCCATTTTGCCAATCCATCTCGCTGGAGGTCTTTCTCTTTATCTCTGACCCTCCACCTTACCAAACATGATATCCTTCTCTAGTGATTGGTCCCTCCTGACAATATTTCCAAAGTATGAGAGACGAAGTTTGGCCATCTTGGCCTCCAAGGAGCACTCTGGCTGCACTTCTTCCAACACAGATCTGCTGGTTCTTTTGGCAGCCCATGGCACTTTCACTATTGGATACATGGAATTTGACTCTCAATTCCAGATTATATGAAGCCAGGGAGGGTTGCAAGGATGGCGGTTCAGGGATGGAAAAAAGAGCCGGGCCAACAGCTGAAACCCAGGCTGTAAGGATTCGCTTGGGCATGGGTGGGCTTGACCCAGAAGGGACAGTCAAAGGCACTGGGGACAAAAACTCTGCCAATGTGGGAGCTAAGTTCAAATGTCTTCAGGACCTTCATGTCAAGGACATGGAGAGGTTCCTATTGCAGCACTGGATTTGCCATGTTGTAGCTCATTGGATGAATGAGACCTCAGAGGCTCAGCATCAGATGCTAGGTTTTGAGGAAGCCCATCTGCACCCTGATAGCTCCCATCGGCTGACAGTAGCTGTTCAGTGGGTTCTCATAGTTTCCAGACACAATCCCTTTATGATCTGGCTTTTGCTTACTTCTCCATCTCCCACAGCTCCGTCCATCCCATTCTTAGATCCTGTACCTCTGAAGTCTCTTCTCCCCTTCTACACACACCACCCTTTCACAAACATGTCTGCTCTTCCCTGAGCCTGGAATGTCTTCACTGGCCTTATTCATAGGCCTGCAAAACACCTATGAATCTTGCCCTGACTCAGCCTGCAGACTTTTATGTGCCTTCTGGGGCACACTCCTCCCCCGACCCAAACCCAACACATGCACACACACACCTGGAACATACTTTGTTAGTGCCTTCATCACACTGAATTATAATAAGCTGCTGGTATGTTGTTGTTGTTGTTTTTTACAAGGCCACAGAGTCCTCGTAGGCGCCATCCATATTTTATTCATCTTTGTGTTGGATGAGTGTAGCAAGGGGGTTAGGGGGAGGTGGTTAGTAAGTGTACGCGGAATCAATACATCCATGAATGAATTAAATTCTACTTCTGGTTACTTCCTGTCTCTCCCCTATCAGAATATACATTTCATATGAGTTGGGATTTTGTTGGCTTTGAGAAACACCGTTCCCAGTGCCTAGAACAGTCACTGGAAGATAGTATGAGGAACTTCAAAAAGCTCATGGAACAATTCCATTATTTTAAATTCTCTTTTACCAAACACTTTTTGAAGCCCCCTTGTGCAATCCTCAAGACACATTTGTGAAATAGATGTGGAATGAAAGAAAAAGATGGCTTTGAACCGGCTCAGGTGAGCTGGCTTCACAAAGACAGGAAATAGCAGTATGATGTAGCTGATTTTTAGTCTAGTCTGGTAGCGTAGTGGTTACGACTCGGGCTGTGAACCGCAAGGTCAGCAGTTCGAAACTACCAGCTGCTCTGTGGGAGAAAGATGAGGCTTTCTACTCCCGTAAAGATTTACACCCTCGGAAACCCTCTACAGGGTCGCTATGGGTCGGTTCCGACTCCACGGCACATAACAACAACAACAACAACAACTGGAAAACAGAGTAGAAAGATCCCAGTCCCTAAGGGCGACAAGACACAAAGACCCTAGCCTTGTCTGCATATACAGTATGCTTGGAAATTTTGGAATTCCACCTGGGTCCCAGCCCCCTTTCAGTTTACCCAGCTCCTTATACACGCAGCAGTTTTGCCAAAGGGCAGAGAACGCAAGCTTGCCCGCTGCTTCCCGGACCCTGTACATTACACCTATGTGTCTCTTGGTTTTCCAGATGTCCACAGTTTGCAGCCTCAGCTGGACTGTGGGCCCACAGAGATCAAGGTGTCCCTGGACAAGTGTCGGCTGGAAGCCCTGGGCTTTGGGGAGCAGGTCATTGCATACCTGCAGGATTTGAATTGCAGCAGCACCACAAAGCCGGAGGAGAGGAACTGGGTCTCCATAGTCAGCCCCGTCCAGGCAGGTGCCTGTGGAAACACCTTGGAGGTAAGCAGGAAGGGGGCTGCTGGGATCTCCCACCGGGAGCTGTAAGAGTGGACAGATCATGTAGCCTTTGGGTTCTTTAGAATTATGGGAGATTAAACATGGTCATTCACGTAGACCTCAATGACTGTGAGCTATGATTATGATCCTTTTAATAGCTATGATGTGGGAGGGGTCAGCAGAGGGAAAAGTACACGGGTTCCAGACTCACCCCTCCAGGTCAATCATTGATTTTTCTAAGTTTTGTCTCTTCACTTGCATCCTCATGAAGAGTTAATGCCATAGAGCAGAGGACCCTTTGATCTCTTTGAGTGTCAGATGGTTGAAGGCATGATTCTGGAGCTAGGAATGCCTGGGTCAGATACCACTCCATACATGCTCACGTGAACATATATGTGGTTTTGTTTTCCTGCCAAAGAGAAATCAAACCCATGCCATCTACAAAAACATGTTCTCCTTAGTCGACGATTTCATCATCAGAGACACCATCCTCAACATCAACTTCCAGTGTGCCTACCCGCTGGACATGAAAGTCAGCCTTGAGATGGCGCTGCAGCCCATAGTAAGGTACAACACTGACCCTTTCCATCTGGCCCACACTGGGCCACTGACCAAACCCACAGCCTGAGATGCCCTCAGGATGCTCCCAACCTCCTTTCGTTCATCCAGTCACTTCACAAGTAATTGTTGGTCTGATATTAAGGCTATTCGGCACGAGCAAAGCAGAAATAAACTACTATGTGGATATTAAGGTGTATTATTATGAAGTCCTGGTGTGGCACTGTGTGTAAATGCACCAGACTGCAAAGCCGTTTCAACTGCAAGGTCAGTGGTTCAAGCTCACCAGCTGCTCCTCGGAAACCCCATACAGGGTCGATATGGGTCGGAACCGACTCGACGGCACTTAACAACAATTATGAAGTAACACAGGGATCTAAAATAGTGCTTATTAGATGTGCTAAGGGAATCCTGGTGTAGCACTGTAGGATAAGAACTGGACCATAAAGTTGTTTGAATCGCCACTTTGGCTCTTCAAGCTCACCAGCCGCTCTCCAGAATCCCTATATAGGGTTGGAACTGACTTGATGACACTTAACAACAGCAAAAGGGACAGACATAGGCGAGTGGGGTGGTTCCATTCAGTAAACACTGGACTGCGGTTTGAGCCTGCCAACTGCTCTACGGGAGAAAGATGAGGTTTTCTGCTCCCGCAAAGATTTAAAAAGGAACAGATTCAAAAGCACGTAACAACAACAAGGGACACATAGACAGGGAAGTCCATTCATCTTGGAGACAAGGGCATTAAATAACTATTTATGGCAATGATCATTTATTAATGAAATGAGCATTTTGTGGAATAAACCTGGGGTGCTTTGGGAGTAGGGAGCCAGGTTTCCTGACCTAAACGTGGGGCTGGTCATGGTGGGCAAGAAGGCTTCCCTACAGCTGTGGAATTTAAGCCCAGACTAGAACATTCTGCATACTGCTTTTAAGAAAATGATTTGATTGGCGAAACATCACCCTCAGAAATAGAACCAAAAGATCGTTTTGGAAGGGAGTCTATGTGGGTAAGGACTTTGGTTCTCTGCAGGATCTCCAGTACCTGGAGTTGAATGACTCACTTCTCATTTCTACAGTTTCCAAGGGACTTTCTGGGCTATCACAAATCAAGAAATCCAGGGTACCCTTGCCATCTTTCTATTGTCTCCATTATCAGAAGGAACCTTAGAAATTTTCTAGTTCCGTGGTTTTCAGACTTTATTGTTTGGGGTCCTAAAGCTCATAAAAATTAAAGTCACCAATCTTGTTAAAAGGAGTCCTTGGGAGGCACAAATGATTAAGTATGTGGCTACTAACTGTGAGGTTGGTGGTCTGAAACTACCCAGAGTGCCCAGGAAGAAAGACCTGGCCATTGAAGAGGCTCACAGCCATTGAAAATGCAGAGGCGCAAAGCTCTAATCTGAAACACCTGCAATTGCCAGAAGACGGAAATGACTCAAGGACTACTCTGCTTTGTTTTGTTTTCAAATATTTTAAAAATTGTTGTGTTTCATTGAAGATTATAGAAGAGATCTGCCGATAAAAATAAATGGTGTGTTCAGAAAACTGGTTCTAATCCCCATTCTACAGGCAAGAGACAGTTCTGCACCTGAAGTTGCTCTGAGTGTTAGAGATAAGTGTGCCCTGCCATGGAAGAGGCCTGACAGAAGCCACAGAGACAGACACTGTCAGTGTCTGTTGTGAAGTGCTGTCGAGTTGGTTCTGACTCATAGCGATCATGTATAGGGTTACTGAGGAGTAGCTAGTGGGTTTGAACCACTGACCTTGTGGTTAGCAGTCCAGTGCTTATCCTACAGCCCCACACCAGGCTTCCAAAAAAGCCCATTGCAGTTGAATGGATTCTGATTCATCCTGCCCCATAGGGTTTCCGGGCTGTAATCTTCACAGAAGTAGACAGTCACATTTCTTTGGAGCAGAGTGACTGGTAGATTTGAACCTCCAACTTTTTAGTTAGCAGTCAAGTATCTCAGGACTCTCAGTTTAAATGCCTGTCTGATCAGTTCATTCACAGATCAAAGATGTGTCTTTGCCTCTGTGACCTTGATTTATTGGCCTCTGTGGCGCTTGGTTTACTGTGCTCCCTCTGGGGAAAACCTGATGTTTCTTTTCTTATGACTTCCCTTTCCTCAGTTCCCTGAACATCAGTGTGGGTGGAGAAGGAGAGTTCACTGTAAGGATGGCCCTTTTCCAAGACCAGAACTACACATCTCCTTACGAAGGGGATGCAGCTGTGCTCTCTGTTGAATCTATGCTCTACGTGGGCGCCATCTTGGAAAGAGGAGATACCTCCAGGTTTAACCTGCTGTTGAAGAACTGCTATGCGACACCCACTAAGGACAGGACTGACCCTGTGAAATATTTCATCATTAGAAACAGGTACTGGGCAATATGGAGGTCACATTTTTGCCTTCATGTAGTTTGGGGGGAAATGTTCACTTTATCTATGTCTGGAAATTACGTACATTAGTTTATCTCTTTAGGAAAAGAATCTGATGTTATGTGTCATGGCCATATCCCTTGATCAGGGAGGATCATTCTTGAGATTTTATTCTAAAGCATTAATACAAACAACAGGGGCAGGGGAGAGAAATGCCAATAGTGTTTCATTTTGGTAGTAGGGTCATTGTTCGAAAATCATTAAGTAATGATGGAATATTATGCAGATATTAACACTGATCGACATGGTATAAAATGTTATGATACTTTGTTGTTGTTGTTGTTAGGTGCCATCGAGTTGGTACTGACTCATAGCAACCGTACGCATAACAGAACAAAACACTGTCCAGCCCTGGGTCAACCTTACAATCGTTGCTATGTTTAAGCCCATTGATGCTGCCACTGTGCCAATCCATCTTGTTGGAGGTCTTCCTTTTTTTCTCCAACACTCAACCTTACCAAATATGCTGTCCTTCTCCGGTGACTGGTCCCTCCTGACAATACAATTAATTGACAAGAGGAAAGAGAATACATATTTCAGATGATTCAAACCATATTAATAATTCTAATATCTATCTTTGCCAAGCACTGCACTAAGAAATATACATGGATTATTTCATTAAATGCCCAATCAGCACTATGAGGTAGACATTACTTTACAGACAAGACAATTTAGGCTTAACAAGAGTGAATAATATGCTTATGATCATTTAGCTAAAAGGACCCAGTTGGGATTTGAAGTCAGTCTGCCTCCCTCCAAAGACTGTACCCCTGATAACTGAAACCATGAGAGTTTATGGGTAATATTCTGCAGGAAACAGAGACTCAGAAAAGGCCCATGTAGTCATGACAGAGGGAACTTGAGGGAATCACAGAATGCTGTTTTTATACTGGGTACAGATTAAAGGCCTCAGGCCCCCGAGCTCTTCTCCAAGTTAGATCCTTGCCCCTCTCATCCTCCCAGCTGCCCCAATCTAAAGGATTCCACTATCCACGTGGAAGAGAATGGGATGTCCTCGGAAAGCCGGTTCTCCGTTCAGATGTTCATGTTTGCTGGAAATTATGACCTAGTTTTCCTGCATTGTGAGGTCCATCTCTGTGACTTCCTTTCTGAGGAGTGCCAGCCGGTGAGTGTCCCTTTGGACTGAACTCCTCAAAGCCTGGCCCTGGGGCCTGGCGGGCTCCCCATTGAAATCATGAATGGGTGGGTGGATGAATGGATAGATGGAAGGAGGGCCAATGAAAGGTGGATGGGTAAATGGATGGCTGGGAGGAGGGAGAAAGAGGAGCAGCAAAGATAGATGGATGGACTTTAGGCCTCCTGAGAGCCCATGGGTAAGTCATTCTGTGTCTTCAGGATGTATGAGCCTGTTCATGAGGTTTTCTTGTCACAGACATATTTTAAAGAATCATAATAGACCTTTTTGTGTGTCAAGAACTGTGCCAACACTTTGACATGCCATAGCTCATATAATTATCACAATAACCTTTGAAGGAATTGCTTTTATTGACCCCATTGTACAGATGAGGAAACTGAGACACTCACCACTAGAAAGCAGTAGAGCTGAGATGTGTCCCCCAGGCAGTCTGACTCTAGTCCCCATGCTCTTAACTCCTATTTGACTCTGAACTCCATTTGTTGTCTCCAGGGGTGATGCTGTGGGTTAATGTGCTGGACTGCAAAGTCGCTTTGAACCGCAAAGTCAGTGGTTCAAGCTCACCGGCTGCTCCTTGGAAACCCTATACAACAACAACAACATGGTACCTCCCTGGTTGGGATGATTAGTAATTTAGCGACAAGCTTTGTACAGTGCATTGTAGTAAGCATTCAATAAATGTGTTGTTGTTAAGTGCTGTTGAGTTGGTTCTAACCCATAGCAACCCTGTATAGGGTTTCCAAGGAGCGGTTGGTGAGCTTGAACCAGAAAACTATTGGCTAAAACTGACTTTGCGATCTAGCGCATTAACCCACAGTGCCACACCAGGACTCCAGGAGGTACCATGGTGAGGCCCATCTGTATATGTGAGGTAATATAATTACCCCCAGTTACTAGATGAGGAAGCTGAGATTCACAGAGGTGAACTCATTTGCCTAAAATTATACACATCAAAGATTGTGGAAATGATATTCAGACCTGGGTTACTTGGCATGAAATTGGGAACTCTCTAGAGTGAATTAGCCTTGGCATCAGCATTAGGGCCATTTTGGTGTGTGTGGCCCTGCTCTTTGGGCAGAGCTGCCCATCACAGAGGTCATCTGTTTTGATATAATGAGACTTCTCCACCCCACAGTCTTGCTCGAGAAGTAGACTCCGCAGTGATGGAGTGGCCATTGATCCAGCCCACGTTCTAGATTTGGGACCTATCACTCGGAAAGGTAAGGGGGCCAAATGCTACTGACAAGGGCCAGCTGGCCACGTGCCAACGGTTAACCCACATACGTCCAGCATCACCAACCCAACTTCCCAGAGCCTTCCTGCCTCCTCAGTGCAGCCTCCCCCCAATGGATCTGTCTTCCCATAAGGTGCATTTGGTAATAATAACAGCCTTTGCTATATATGATGACACTCCCGGGTGACAGAGATCACACTGAGCACTGTGTCCATCAGCTCTCTTATCCTCCCATGGGGTCCACTCCACTGGTGAGAAACTAAGGCTCAGACAGATTACACGACTCCCCCAAGATCACCCAGCTCATGAATGACTGAAGTTAGGCTTGAACTTAGTTCTATCTGATTCCAAAGCACATGTATTTTTCCTTACCCTGTCTGTTCCCAAGGGCCCCCGCCAAGCGTGTGCCAAATATATCTATATCGATCTATATCTATCTATCTATCTATCTATCTATCTATCTATCTATCTATCTATCTATCTATATAACATTTTTTCAACTGTCCCAAATTTTCCTCATTCCCACACAGTTCTATCTAGATGAGCCATTCTATCATGGCTTATGGGGAAGAGTCAAGAAATCAGAAGAATGAAAGCTTTTTTTAGGTCCAAACGATGCAGTGATGTTAATAATGATAAAAGTAATGCTACTGCGTTCTTTGTGTCTGGCAATTTGCCAAACACTTTTATATGTATATCACAGGGAAACAGATCCAGAGCTCTCAGAATTAAGTGCTGTTACCACTCCCATTTTCCAGATGAGTAAACTGAGGCTCCAGTAGCCTGCCTCTTGAAGAAGGCTCTGCTCTGAGTTGTCTTTTCCCCTCCCCGAGACCTCAACCTGAAGCCTCATGCAGTGCCATAGGGTAGCTGGAGGATTACCAACTTCCCCTTTGGAATCCAACAGCCTGAGGTTCAAACCCAAGCTCTGTCCCTTACTGGTAATGTCAACTTGATGAATTACTTAACATTGTTGAGACTCAGTCTTCTCACCTATCCAATGGGGATGAGAATATTTTCCTTGAAAATGTCCTGGGATGCCTAAGTTTAAAATCCATGAAACTGTTTAGAAAGATGCCTTTCAAGTAACAGATGCTACTAGAAGTAGTGAACTGTCAGTGGTGGTGATGACCAGGTTCTGGAGAACTTGGGAGTAGATATGGCTATGGGGCCCCAGACGCGAATCCCGGCGGAAGAACCATCACCTTCTACTTGTGTTCGCAGGTGCCCAGTCTCTCGGTGTCCTGAGTGGAGCTCCTAGCGTTTCAGGTACCTTATCTCTCCTGCCTCACCCATACCCCTACCAGACCTCTCTTTCCTTTTTTCAACTCGGTGCTCATTTATTCAGCCCCTTCTATATGCGAGGGAATGTAGACACTGAAAGGAATCAGACCTAAGACTGTAAGTCTGGAACTTCTCACAGGTTAGCAGAGGAGTCCGGCATTAAAGAGCAAATACTTATTGAGCACCTACTGTGCACCAGGCATTGTTCTAGGCACCGCGGCTATAATAGTGAACAAGAGAGACAGGACACATTATGAACATTGTGTTGATGGTGGTGGTTATGTGCCGTGGAGTCAGTTCCGACTCATAGCAACCCTGCACAGGGTTTCCCAGGCTGTAAATCTTTACAGGAGCAGAAAGCCACCTCTTTCTCCCGCAGAACAGCTGGTAGTTTCGTAGTTTCGAACAACAGACCAACTCGTAACCATTACGCTACCAGAGCTCCTTAAACCTTGTGTTACAGTGTGGGAAATAGACAGTAAAAGGTAAACAGGGTGACTTAGAGAGTGATAAATGTGCTAAAGAAACAAAAATGTGATATAATGGAAAGTTAGTGGCGTAGGTAATAGTGTCTTAAATAAGGCAGACATTCATTTCCCCTTCATATACATGTAGCCCATAGGAAAATGGTCCAACGATAATATGTTGGCATTAAAAAGTCATCAGGGACCCAGGCTTCTTCCAGCTCACCTTTCCACCTTATTTAAGGTGTGGCCTTCATCTTCAAGATTCAAGATGGCAGCCGGAGTGCTAGCCTTCAAATCTAGGCCACAGGGTGCCAGGAACATGACAGAAGTGGTGTATATAAAGGAGCATGAGGGAAGTTTATATGCAGCTCACTAACCAGTGCTTGGTCACCTTCACATGCAGCTCACTAACCAGTGCTTGGTCACATGGCCACACCTGGCTGCAAAGGAAGCTGGGAAATGTCATCTTTATTCTGGTGGTCACGTGCTCAATCAATGTATGCTGCTTCAATGATCATGGGAGAAGGGAAGAATGATGCAGGGAGAATCCATGATCAGAATGGAGAAGAAGGTAGAGAAATTTTTACAGGAGACGATAGAAAGGAACCACAAGTACAAACATTTGTGGGACAAGTCTTACTGGCAGAGGGAACAAGAACTACAAAGTTGAGACAGACATGTAAGCAAATACATGATAAGCAAGTAGATGATTCAGAAAGAACACATACAAGAACAATTAACTACAATTAGAAAAGAATTACAGCATGGTAACTCTGAATTTGATACATGGGGTTTTGATGGATGAACTGGAGTTCAACACGCTGACAAGTCCTTGAAATGTATTTGGATAAAATGGAAAACATATGCTAATAAGATGACCCAGAATAGTGAACCTAAATATGAAAAACTTCCCATCCTCAAGGTCCCAACTAGATTGTTACATTGTTGTTACGTGTTGTTGAGTTGGTTCTGACCCATAGTGATCCTCTATAGGGTTTCTGTGGAGTGGCTGGTGAGCTTGAACCGCTGACTTTGCAGTCCAGTGCATTAACCCACAGCACCACACCAGTACTCCTTCAACTAGATTGGAGTATAAAAATGTTCAGTCCAAGATGGCATTCCCATGCTTAGCGCAAATATTTGGACAAGAAGAAAAGCTGGTATGGTGCTGTAGGATAAGCATGGGACTGCTAACCAGCAGCTCTTTGGAAACCCTCTACCTGGTTGCTATGAATTGGAACCTACTCGATGGCTTTAACAGCAACAACAGGGCGTGCCGTTGTAGGATAAGCACTCGACTGTTAACCCGGAAGTCACTGGTTCAAACACACCAGCTACTCCTCAGAAACCCTCTACAGGGTCACTGTGAGTTGGAACAGACTTGACGGCACTTAACAACCACAACCTCTGAGTCAAAATCAGCTCTAGGGCTGTAGGAGGTGGTCGTCTCCTGCAGTGGCAGCGTAACACCATAAGGGGGCACTCATGGTTTACATTGCCTCTGTTGTTATCGTCCACAACTATTTTTGATGCTTTAGAATTAATTTTGTTTCAGAATTATAAACCGGTTTTCATGTACTTATCATGTCTCATCTTCTAACACGCTTCTGAAAATTATGATCTTCTCCCATCTTCCAGAACATCAGAAATTTACTATGAAATGTTGGGGCATGGGTCCTGAAGGAGAGTGATCTTGTATCTGGGATACATCTCTCACACTATTAGGATATCCCCTTCGTTAACACTGGGGATACACAACAAAGCACAAAACCAAACCCCAAACCACTGCCCTGCCGTAGGCCTGGTGCTGGAGGCGCCATTGGAGCTGGCTTGGCTTGTGAGCCCCGCTGAAGAGGCAGAGGGCTGGACCTTAGTTACC